TGCTATCAGTCTGTGGGGTAATATTGTACACATCAATGGAAACTGGTCAAAACCAAAATTATAAAATTAAATGTCACCTGCGTAAACTATACAGACAAGGTATTAAATAGAAATTAAATATGTATGTTCGTTATTGGAAGAACTCTGCTAACTGGCTTTGACAGTAGAGCATGGTGGTTAATGCACTCTGAAATCAGCCCAGACAAGATCAGTCCCCATTCCACCCCAAACACGGTGTGAATTTACACAAATCATGTCATCTCTCTGTGCTTGAGTCCTCTTGGTCTTTATAATGGTGGTGCCTGGCTCATAGATTATGAAGACTATGGAGGTGAATACACGTCTGTTCTTCAAAGCAAAGAACAATTCATTGCAAATACACTTAAAATGAGACACATCCAAAGATGGCAGACTCTTCATAATAGAAAGGAACTTTATGAAGTATTTCTATTGCATTTCAGCTGACTTTATTATTTATTTATTTATTTACTTATTTATTTTGGGACAGGGTCTCACTTTGTCACCCAGGCTGGTGGGCAGTGGCGTGATCTTGGCTTACTGCAGCCTCAACCTTCTGGGTTCAAGGGATCCTCCCATCTCAGCCCCCACCAAGTACCAGCTGCCTTTTAAATGTCGCTCATGCATCACGTTCCCTGCAGGATCCTGTGTCTCTGAAGGTGAGTAGCAGCCTGTGGGAACTGACAGAACGGCTGCTGGGATGGGGCAATGGGAATGATGTTCTTATCGCAGACTACAGTTAGAATCCTGGGGAATTTCTTATTTACCATTATCTGTTCTTTATCAATGGGTACAGGTTAAGGTCCACAGATTTGATTACTAAACACCTAATTGTAGCCAACACCTTATTCCTCCTCCCTAGAGGGATGCCACAGACAATGGCAGCTTTTGGGTTTAGACATTTCCTGAATTATTCTGGATGTAAATTTCTTTTTTATGTCCACAGAGTGGGCAGGGGAGTGTCCATTGGCAGCACCTGCCTCCTGAGTGTCTTCCAGGCCATCACCGTCAGCCCCGGGAGCTCAGGTGGGCAAAGTTTAAAGGGAAAGCCCCCAAGCACGCTGGCTCCTGTTTGTTCCTCAGCTGGCTCCCCACATGCTGGTGAATAGCATTGTTCTCATGCACGTGACTGGCAAGTGGCGTAGCAAAAATACCACAAAGTCCAAAGGTCTGGGATACTGTTCTGCTGCTCATCACGAGGACACCAGAGAGTCGCTGCACGCGGCACTGCTGTCCTTCCCTGATGTGATCTGTCTGGGGCTCGTGCTCTGGGGCAGCAGCTCCCTCGTTTGCATCCTGCACAGGCACAAGCAGTGGGTCCCCCACATCCTCCCCTGAGTCCAGAGCTACCAAAACCATCCTCCTGGTGAGCACTTTTGTGTCCTTTTACACTCTCTCTTCACCTTTCAAGTTTGTTTGGGTCTTTTGAATAATCCCAGTCAGTTGGTGGTGAACATCTCTGCAACGATCAATGCAAGTTTCCCAAATGTCAGCCCCTTTATTCTCATCAGTGGAGACTCCGGTGTATCCCAGCTTTGCTCTGCTTGGCTGAGCACCACGAAACCCCCTGATCTTATCAGAAACATGTGAATTGTACATGTTTGTACAATGTTTATGTTTCTTCGTTGATCTCTATAGACCCATAAACAGGGTTGTGAAATGAGGCTTGTTAGTGCTGTGCTAGCCAGCAGGGGTCACTGTTTCCTTCTGTACCTCCTGATCCCTCCCTCCACCCACACCACACTGGAGCAGCTCTGTGGAAAAAGTGGGATCAGCTTAGAGGTTTTTGGGAGGAAGACACTGAAACGTAAACGTTCTAAGAAAGTAACAGTGTACAAGCACACATGCCTCATCCCTGTGTCCCTTGGAGTAGACGGGGAAATGTGTGCAGATGCGAAGTTCTTGCTGCCATTTTCTTGATGAATAATAAAACACATATTTTTCTCATATCCAGAAATCACATGCCCTCAGCCAACATCCATAAACTGACAATCTTACTTGTTGACTTGCAAGTAAGGTTAAAATACAAAACCTTTTGCAATTTCTGATAGTTCTGGTGATGCTGAGACAGGTATGACTTTGTGTAAGAGGAAGGTAGAAAGATGCGGCCGGGCGCGGTGGCTCACGCCTGTAATCCCAGCACTTTGGGAGGCCGAGGCGGGCGGATCACCAGGTCAGGAGATCGAGACCACGGTGAAACCCCGTCTCTACTAAAAATACAAAAAATTAGCCGGGCGCGGTTGTGGGCGCCTGTAGTCCCAGCTACTCGGGAGGCTGAGGCAGGAGAATGGCGTGAACCCGGGAGGCGGAGCTTGCAGTGAGCCGAGATCGCGCCACTGCACTCCAGCCTGGGCGATAGAGCGAGACTCCGTCTCAAAAAAAAAAAAAAAAAAAAAAAAAAGAAAGATTCTTCACCGGCGTGGTTAAGAGACAGAAAACGGCTCTCTGGAACAAGCAGCAAATTCTCTCACCCAAACTGGAGTGAAATGAGAGTAAGATTCCTCCACTCTCTAACCCTTAAATGGGGCTGTTGTGTGAGGGGGAGGATTGAAATGAGCTGTCCGAATGTGATTTATCTGTGGCTCATTCTCCTCCTGGCAGGAGGAGGAAAGGACAAGGAGTCCCCGAAGCTGACACTGAGTTCATGGGGTTGAGCTGACAGCGGTCAACAGGCTGTGGTCAACTCTGATGAAACGAGGCCTGTTAGTGCTACGCTTGCCAGCAGGGGTCACTGTTTCCTTCTGTACCCCCGATCCCTCCCTCCACCCACACCGCACTGCAGCAGCTCTGTGGATAAAGTGGAATCAGCTTAGAGGTTTTTGGGAGGAAGACACTGAAACTCCGTTTTTTCGTTTTGTTTTGTTTTCGTTTTTGTTTTTAGATGGAATCTCACTCTGTCGCCCAGGTTGGAGTGCAATGGTGCCATCTTGGCCCATTGCAACCTTCCTGACCCGGGCTCCAGCAATCCTCCCGTCTCAGCCTCGTGCCATGTTTCCCAGGCTGATCTCGAACTCCTGGACTTAAGTGATCTGTCCGCTTGGGCCTCCCAAAATGCTGGGATTACAGACGTGAGCCACCGTACCTGGCCTGAAACACTTTTAGTCCTGTTGCATGCAAGGATTTAAGTCACCAACCTAAGTGGATTCCAGGAAGAAGAGTCAGTAGGTGCAGGAGTGGGAAAAGGTGCTAGGGATGGTGGGGTGAAGTGTGGCTGCAAACCGGCAGAAAGAGACAAGCTTCTGACCCTGAATAGTCACCAAATGCTGGATGGTGCAATGCTAAGAATGCAGCATAGGCCGGGTGTGGTGGCTCACGCCTGTAATCCCAGCACTTTGGGAGGCTAAGGTGGGCGGGTCATGAGGTCAAGAGATTGAGACCATCTTGGCCAACATGGTGAAACCCCATTGCTACTAAAAATACAAAAATTAGCTGGGTGTGGTGGCAGGCGCCCGTAGTCCCAGCTACTCAGGAGGTGGAGGCAGGAGAATCACTTAAACCTGGGAGGTGGAGGTTGCAGTGAGCCAAGATGGTGCCACTGCACTCCAGCCTGATGACAGATCAAGACTCCATCTCAAAAAAAAAGAAAGAAAGAAAGAAAAGAAATGCCGCACGACCATGCTCTGAAAAGCTAAAAAAGAATCACACCTCCCCATTGTCCTGGCCCCTGCCACACACACACACACACACACACACACACACACTCTCTCACACACTCCTATCCTAGCTTCCTCTGGTCTACTGAACCCTCGCAGTCCCTTACCCATGCCATTGTATAGCGTATACTTAGTCTGTGTTTCCATAGAGAAAAATACAAAACGCAAAAACAAGAACCAAACTCAACAGAGAGGGTTTGTGCTAATTCAATGTCCTGTTCGGTTTCTGCATCAGAATCAACAGCAGGAATTGATGGGTTGCGTGTTTTTGGGCTTCCTGTCCCTATGTACCAGAGGAAATTATTAATCTGGGTGGGGTGCAGGCAGGGACGTGTGAGACTAACTCTCCTGCCATTTGCCACTAGTTGGGGGCGAGTCATTAGGATTCCTATGAGTGCCTCTAGCCTCTGTTGTCCCAAATCCTCACTATGCAGATTATGTTCTGTGTCTCGGCAGGTGAGAGGAGTTGCTCTCAGTCTTTCTGTGTGGGGTGTGATCCCCGCTCTGCCAGCAGAGGTAACTGACAGAACCCAAAGAAATGCAACCTTCTGTTTTCCGGGGAAGGTTTATTGAAATTATGTGAGCTGACTTACATTGCTCAGTGATTCCAGTGGTGGACAACAGTTGTAGCTGATGATTTTGTCATCTGCAGCCTCTGGAAAAGGGAGATAGCCTCCACCTAGAGGTGCCTGTGGGGTCCTAGTTACCCTGACACAATAATAGTCACACTGATTTTGATAATTATCTGTCAGCTTGCTAGTGAGCTCTTGTCCTCACCAAATCCTGACCCACAGACAGGCTCCCCAACTTGATATTCCAATTTTGAAACGGAACTCTACAAAAACCCCTGAAAGCCTTGCTTATTATACAGACATGGTATATTCTGGAAGGAAAATGGACCAGTCCAGGAACATCTGAGCGCTAAAGGAAAAATCAAGATCTATTGTCGGTGAAAATGTTATGTCCTTCTCCACTGTCGGAAGCAAAGCTGTGGCATTATGGGGTCCCAAATTTAGCATGTATCCCCTAAATGTCTGGTCCACATTCACTGGTGGGTCAGAGAAGTAGATTCCTCATGGTGTCCACAACAGAGACTGTTCAGGCTCAGTACCAGCCACGTGGAACCTGAAGCAGGGGCGGCCTCTCCACTCAATGGTCAGACTCAGGGCCGGGCGTGGGGGCTCCAGCCTGTAATTCCAGTCGTTTGGGAGGTTGAGGTGGGTGGATCTCTTCAGGCCAGGAGTTTGAGACCAGCCTGGCCAACATAGCGAAATGCCATCTATACCAAAAATACAAAAAATTAGCTGGACGTGGTGGCAGGCACCTGTGATCCCAGCTACTTCGGAGCCTGAGATGGGAGAATTGCTTGAACATGGAGGTTACAAAAAAAAAAAATCGTCAAAACTCAGGGTTTTGGCCACTGCCCACATTCTACCCATTCATTCATCCCCGTTCAAACCAGAGACTGTCTGATGAAGCACACCCTCTTTGAGGGTGCAAACTGGAAACAGTCTCAGCTGCTGATCCGACAGTCGCATGCGTCATTTAGAAGTCCATGGGAATGGACTGTGTTCTGCGGCACCTGCCCATAATCAAGCTCTGGACGGAGCCTGACTGTGTCTCATGCAGAGCTTGTCGCTGCAGGCCAGGCTTGTGGTTCTTGGGGAAAGTCGATCTGTTTACCTCGCGGTTGGGGACGCCCCTGACCATTCCCGGCAGAACGAGTGCATTGGACTTCTGACCCACTTCTGGAGGTTTCAATCATGTCTCACCACTGTCGCCACCGTCAGCGTCACGCCAGCTGACTCCAGCCACACCACCTGTCCCTTGAAACTCATTCTTGCCAGCTTTTAGACTTTTGGGACCATTTTCACTCTGACATACTGAGACTTTAATCACCAAATCTACTGAAAATGGGCCAACTGTCTGATTTTACTTCCTTGTTTCCCCTCTTAATCCATCAATGTTGTTTAGGTAATTTGTTGACTGAATGTGGCTGTCTCCAAAAGAAACAATCTCTTCTTGACAGCCTCCAGGATCACATGAAATCACTGGGGGCTATGAATCTATTTCCAAAGTGTGAGATTTCTCCCTCTGACCATTGTGGGCACAATATGTCATTCTTTCTCTGAACAGCAGCCCCAGCCCAGTCTACTTTGCCCACGATGAGTGGCAGCCCAGCTAAAAGCGAGTTTATGGGACTCGAAGTCAGTTACAGTTAAGGTTTATACAAAAATCTTTATCCCCGTTTCACCTTGCTCTTAGGGACAAGTGTCTTGGAGACAGTAGGGGATGATGAGAATAAAAGTGAAATTCTAGGTACCGGAATGGGACTGACTGACTCTGTGGAGGGAGAGGGAGAGTGACAACCTGAAACCTGGAGAGCAATCAGCTTAGGTCCTACGAGCTCTGAAGAATGGAGGGACATTCATTGCCTTTTGTCTCCCGTAATCACCTCCATGAGTCCCGGAAAGAGTCTCGCTGGAAATCATGTAGCACCAGGACTGTGTTAGTTACAGTTAAGCCAGATGGCAGGGCAGGTGCTGGGGGTTCCTGTGCGTTTGGTCTCCACATCACCCAGAAGAGTCCTTTGGGACTGTTCCCTCCTTCTGGGATGTAGACGTGGGATTCACACAGTGAGGAGTGTGCTCTTTCGGTGCCCACCTGTCCTCCTTGCTCTGTGAGCTGCGTTTCCTCCTGTTTTTGTCCCACATAGAGACGAATGTACGTTTATTCCTATTTGGATAAATCAGAGAAACAAATCAAGTAAAGGAACTGTAGACCCAGCCCCCAGCATAGCCTGATTCTTTTCTGTTCCTTTTCCCAGTGAACTAATTTCATTATGTCGGTGCAGAGAGATTCCCTGAGATGGGGTCTCTCAGAACAGATGGCAACACCATACATCTTGAGAAGGTGGTTGGAGACGGCAGGAGTCCTAGCGAGAATCAAAACTTGTGCCTGATGTATTACAGGTGTATCTACAGGAGGTAGATGGATCCAGGAAAGATCCTAGAGCCCTGGAAGAGACTATTTAGAGCGGGCAGGATCCCTGCAGGAGAGCAGATAGCAGGACACAGGTTCAGCAGCCACTTTGGAAGTCAGACGCTCACAGCTAAGCCTCTGTGGTAGGGCTGATCTGCAGAGCAATGCAGAGCCTGGGAAAGCTCTGATCACACGTGGAAGATGAAACTCTGGGCTTCTATTGGTCCATTTTCCCACTGCTACAAAGAACTACCTGGGATACAAATATAGATATTAATTTTTGCTATACTTTATAATATACAAACACATATGGATGATTACACCCTAATATTTGTTGCGATTCTACAGAAATGCGTGACTCTCAGGAGACATCCAAAAGACAGCAAATATCTCACATGAAACTGAATAGTAATGTTCATCCTCAATGAAACACAGAGTTCACCATTCTGAGTATATTGTTCAAGTTATTTTCCTATTTTCCTTCCCCAGAATCTAACATGTGTTAACACCATGTGTCTAAATCGTCCCTGTTGGGCATCTGGAGCAATCTGAGAAAGGGCAGGTCTTTGTTGTGACTCTCAGAGCAGCACCTACTGCTGGACACAGCGGGACACCCCATCTCAAGCCCAGTCTCATCCACCGACACGGTCCGTTATCTCCTGTCCGGGGAAGAGGCGGGCCTGTCTCCGTCCTGGGAGGAGCTCTGGGCTTCTCCTTCATCCAGAGATGTGCCCCAGGGACCAGCCAGTGGGGCTGGGAGGAGCCCCCCTCAGCAGAGAAGACACAGGTGCCTGGGTGGCCGAGGCCTGGAAGGTGTGCACCATGGTGCACGGAGGCCCCGGAGCTGGGTGAGCCCAGAAAGCTGCCCTGGGGTCCGCGGGGACTGTGCCTGCTGAATCTGCACCTGAGCCACATCTTCACAAATGGCCTCAGACCTAGAGTGCAGGGAGATCCCCGGGCTTTTCTGAAGTGGTGGCCGGTGGTCCCCTGGGGAGCAGGACCTGGGCTGCTTACTGCCCTCACCCAGTGAGGGCCCGCGGGGAGCTCTTAAGGCGGGAATCATGGGTCTGCCTGATGTGACTGCTGTGCCCACATCAGAGGGTTTTTCTTTCTTTTCCAAAGTCAAGCTGCACTAATCCAGACCAGGGATCCCACCCCTGGGCTGCGGACCGGTCCCTGTGGGTAGCCTGTTGGGAACTGGACCGCACAGCCAGAGGTGAGCAGTGGGTGAGAGCGCCTGACCACCTGAGCTCGCCTCCTGTGAGATCAGCAGCGCCACTGCATCCCAGAGGAGTGGGAACCCTACTGTGCACGGCGCATGCGAGGCATCTGGGTGGCATCCTCTTTATGAGAATCGATGATCTCAGGCGGAACAGGTTAATCCTGAAACCATTCCCCTGTCTGTGAAAAAACTGCCCTCCACGAAACCAGTCCCTGGTGCCAAAAACGCTGGGAACCGCTGATCTAGACAGTTCTCTGCTAAGGAAGCACGTGGTTGAGAAACATCAGACTCGTTCCCACGGACCCTGCTCTGGAGTCTCAGCAGGCGCCTGGAGGTGAGCCCCACTGACCTCTCCTCTCCCCTCCGGACCTCCTCAGCTTTGGTAATGAAAAGCTGCATCCTCTTCGGTCCCCAATTCCTCTCTGGGTGTCAGGAGCTCTAAAACCCTCTCAGCCGCTGAGAAATCTGTCTGTCTGTCTCACAGCGTCTTCATCCGTGCATCATGAAGGACACTCACATGGTGACGTGCCTTGGCTCATGTGAGTAACACTGCAGCAAGCGTGGGGGTGCAGATATCTCTTGAAACACTCATTTCCTTCAGATACACACTCAGAGGTGGGATTGCTGGATTGTATGGCCATTTTGATTTTTTAAATTAAAAAGAATTTTAATTCTCATATTGTTTTGAGTAAAGTTAGATTATAACTTGTGAGGCAACTCGATGCTTTTTATAATTGTTTAAGAAATAATTGCTCTGCCAACTGACTGTCCCAACAACAGTGTACAGGGGTATTTTTTTTTTCTCCACATCCTCATTTCTTTTGTCTTTTTAATACCAGCAATCCTCAGACATGGGAAGTGATACCTCACTGCGATTTTCATTCGCATTTCCTGATGATTAGTCTATTCAGGCGCCCCCCCACCTCTTTTTTTTTTTTTTTTTTTTTTTTTTTTTTGAGATGTACTCTCACTCTCTCACTCTGTTGCCCAGGCTGGAGTGCAATGGCACGATCTCGGCTCAGTGCAACCTCCACCTCCCAGGGAGATGTGATTAGCCACCACACCCAGCTAATTTTTGTATTTCAGTAGAGATGAGGTTTCACCATGTTGGCCAGGCTGGTCTCAAACTCCCGACCTCAGGTGATCCACTTTGCTCGGCCTCCCAAAGTGCTGGGATTACAGGCGTGAGCCACCAGGCCCAGCCCCTTTGCTCATTTTTAATAGGGTTACTACTATGACCATATTTGCTTTTGAGTTGTGGGTGTTCCTTATATATTTTGGATATAAACTCCTAATCACAGGTAGGGTATACATGGTTTAACATATTTTCTCCCATTATCATGCCCCAATATCACTAAGTTATATTTCACAGCTCCCTCCTGAACACCTTAAAAAACTTCCTGGCCGGGCGCGGTGGCTCACACCTGTAATCCCAGCACTTTGGGAGGCCGAGATGGGCGGATCACGAGGTCAGGAGATCGAGACCATCCTGACTAACACGGTAAAACCCCGTCTCTACTAAAATACAAAAATTAGCCGGGTGCGGTGGCGGGCGCCTGTAGTCCCAGCCACACAGGAGGTTGAGGCAGGAGAATGGCGTGAACCCGGGAGGCGGAGCTTGCAGTGAGTGGAGATTGCGCCACCGCACTCCAGCCCGGGCGACATAGTGAGACTCCGTCTCAAAAAAAAAAAAAACTTCCTAACATATTTCCATGTGTCTGTATCCAGGTTATTGTGATTTTTGCCTGAAAACACATTTATATATGCTGATATTCTCCAATAACTAATATATTTTTTCTTTTTTTTTTTTTTTTTTTTTTTTTTTGAGAACGGGAGTCCTGCTCTGTTGTCCCAGGCTGCAGTGCAGTGGTGTGATCTCAGCTCACTACAACCTCTGCCTCCCAGGTTCGAGGGATTCTGCCGCGTCAGCCTCCTGAGTTGCTGGGATTACAGAAACACACTACCACACCCGGCAAATTTTTTTGTATTTTTGTAGAGATGGGGTTTCACCATATCGGTCAGGCTGGTCTTGAACTCCTGACCTCAGGTGATCTACCCGCCTTGGCCTCCCAAAGTACTGGGATTACAGGTGTAAGCCACCACACCCAGCCCTAACTAATGTATTTTAAATAACTTTTTGCTCTTGGCACATGGACTAAAACCACATCACCAGGCCTTCAATGATGTCCAATGTCCGCCATCTTATTTCCACGCCAGCTCCGCCCCAGGCATAGTTGTTTTTCTTTTTATTGAAGCTATCTCCTTTTTTTTTTTTTTTTCTTGAGACGGAGTCTCGCTCTGTCGCCCAGGCTGGAGTGCAGTCGTGTGATCTCAGCTCACTGCAAGCTGCGCCTCCCGGGTTCATGCCATGCTCCTGCCTCAGCCTCCTGAGTAGCTGGGAATACAGGCGCCCACCACCATGCCCGGCTAATTTTTTGTATTTTTTTAGTAGAGACAGGGTTTCACCGTGTTAGCCAGGATGGTCTCGATCTCCTGACCTCATGATCCGCCTGCCTTGGCCTCCCAAAGTGCTAGGATTACAGGCGGGAGCCACCGCGCCCAGCCAAAGCCTTCTCCTTGCCAAGTTAATTAAAGAGAATGTTTTATTCATCAAATTAGAAATTACATCCTCAGAGAAGCTTTCCAGTATTTGTAGTTCTTACAGGCCACATTTATTACAAGTTTATAGACTCCAAACTTCCCACTGAACAGTTCATAACAAGGACACAGGCTTATTGTAAAAGAATTCATTTAGTGCCTGCCATTCTGACTACATTAGAAATTTAGTTCTCCTGCTCAACGTTCTGTTATGTGACTGTTCAATGCATTACTTAAAACTGCAAGATTGAATAGAGAGATCAGCTTCTGACATTGATGAATGCAAACCACAAGAAACCAAGTCTCCTCGGCAAAATGATGAAAATACTAGCAAAGTCACTAAAATCAATCATTTTAGACTTCTGAAATTTACCAAAGCCACAGAACAAAGTGAAAATTATCTATCCCACAGAAAGTACCAAACTTCAGTAAGACAGCAGCATTTGAGTCATATTAACATGGGGGCATTTCCATCACCCTCCATCCTTCGTTCAGTGTAGAGCACTGACTTTTTTTTTTTTTTTTTTTTTTTTTTTTAGATGGAGTTTTGTTCTTGTTGCCAAGGCTGGAATGCAATGGCGCGATCTCGGCTCATTGCAACCTCCACCTTCCGAGTTCAAGCAATTCTCCTGTCTCAGCCTCCTGAGTAGCTGGGATTACAAGCATGCGCCACCACATTCAGCTAATTTTGTATTTTTAGTACAGACGGGGCTTCTCTATGTTGGTCAGGCTGGTCTCGAACTCCCGACCTCAGGTGATCCGCCTGCCTCGGCCTCCCAAAGTGCTGGGATTACAGGCATGAGCCGCTGCGCCTGGCTGCACTGACTTCTTTTGAAGCTCCTTTTAAACCCCTTCTATATCCACCTTCATGTTCACCGCAGTATTATTCACCATGACCAAGACATGGAAACAACCTAAATTTCCTTCAAAGGACAAAAGGGTAAAGAAAATGTGATATATACACATTAAAATATTATTCAGCCATGAAAACACAGAAATCCTGCCATTTGTGACAACAGGAAAAAAGCTGGTAGATGTCATGCCAAGAGAAATAAGGAAGACACCGAAAGAGAAATATTGCATGATATTCATTTCTTCATTTCTGAGGAGGCTTCAGAATCCAGGTCCTTACTAAGATGTGGCAGGCTAGTTTTGCATTTTAGACTGCTCATTAAAATATATATTTATTGGGCCAGGCGTGGTGGCTCACACCCATAACCCCAGCACTTTGGGAGGCCGAGGTGGGCGGATCACCTGAGGTCAGGAGTTCGAGACCAGCCTGGCCAACATGGTGAAACCCTGCCTCTACTAAAAATACAAAAATTAGCTGGGTGTGGTGATGCATGCCTGTAATCCCAGCTACTCAGGAGGCTGAGGCAGGAGAATCATTTGAATCCGGCAGGCAGAGATTGCAGTGAGCCGAGATAGCGCCACTGCACTCTGGCCTGGACAACAGAATGAGACTCCATCTCAAAAAAAAAAAAAAGTATTAATTGCCTATGGTTTTAAAAAAAAGCAAGTAGTTTCTGAAGGATACACTGAAGACTCTTAAACATAATACTTATGTTTTCTGAGTCAACCTTTGTTGTTCAGAGAATGAAAAGATCAAGATGCCTCACCTAACATCCAGGAGGGTCCCTGACTTCCTGATTCTAGGCCCTAAACCTATGTCCAAGAGGAAAGTTAAATGCGTAGCCCAGAGCTTTTTAAACCTAGTTATCCAGGCCCCTAAACGGCACAGGAAAATGGAAGCTAACTCCTTACAATTTGCGAAAGAGACAAAGCAGCTGCTGCTTTTTTGTTGCTTATGTCGGATTAAAGTGACATCTTTTTTATCTTCTTTCTTATTTAAAGATTAAAAAACAGGTTGTGTTGACTTACACACTTCTCCATAAAAATACAATATATTGATTCAACATGAAATCTCTACTTTAGTGCCAGATAAATTGAGAATTTGTATGCCAAATTGTAACAAATTTGATGTTCTCAAAAGAAACAGCATTATTCACTTTATTTCAGATGAGACCGGGCTTATGTTCACAACGACACACTCACAGAGATATAATTCCACAGGCACACGTGGTAGAGTGGGCTAAGATCATCACAGACAGTAATGACTTGCAATGCCATTGGACAAATCCTCCAACAGAGCTCTATAAAACCACTAGAAAATGCGCACAATAGCACAACCATCAAAATGAAAACAGTTGTTGTATAGATTTGTATAATAGTTGTAGAGCTGTTAGTAGTTGTACGGAGCATCCTTGACATAAGTAACTCCATCTTAGAAAAAGACTCCATCTTACATTTCATGGGTCACTTTGCCAACAGGGACAAGATGTTTTGCTTAGTAAATAAATAAGAAGGACTGCATCCAAGCAGATAAGGACATAAACAAGCACATTCTTCCACTATCAGTCCTCCCCAGAGGACTCTGGCCATAAAAGAAGCTGGGCTTCAGCAGCTCAAAATGGCCATCTTAACTGCCAACCGTCCTGCTGTCATTTGTCATAAGCACTTGACATCTGCTGCCAACGTTTCTACCCACATCAAAGATTCTTCCTTGCAAGATCAACAGATGACTCAGCCCAGACCAGGAGACTGTTTATGTCCTCACTCTCCCTAAGCAGGTTCAAATCTGCTGAGATTTGGTTTATCTCTAATTTTTTAGGGAGAATTTGCTCACACAATCACAAGGCAAAGTCCCATGATAACCCATCTGCAAGCTGAGGAAGAAAGAAGCCAGTGGTGGCTTGGTCCGAGTCCAAAAGCCTCAGAAGCAAGGAAGCCAACAGTGCAGCCTTCAGCCTGTGGCCAAAGGCCTGAGCCCCCAGCAAACCACCAATGGTCCAGAGATAACCAGGTCCATACACATTTGTATCTTTCCACAGTGTCAGGCTTTGATTGATGCTATTTCAATCACAAAAGCCATGAGCTGCCTGGAGTTCCCAAAGAGGCATGTGATGGTTAATATTAAGTGGAAACTTGCTTGGATTGAAGGAAGCCTAGGCAGCTGGTAAAGGTTTCTGGGTGTGTCTGTGCAGGTGTTGCCAGAGGAGACTGACGCTTGAGTCAGTGG